AATGAAGGTCACATCCTAATACCCCTGTTTAAACAGTGCATGTCGTCGGGTTGTGGCTGTGTATAATTTAGCCATATTGACTTTAAATTAATTTGAAATGAGCTACAAAATGATATCTCTCATGCCCCGTCTCACTTTCCTCTGCGATAACCCTCGGCAGAAATGAAAAGTCGTTTCTGGAAGAAAAGTTGGTAGATTGGTTTTTGGATGGATTGAGTTTGAATATTAGGATCTAATCGTAAATTAGGGGAGGTCTGGTACAAGATGCTTTTTTTTTCCCTTTTTTTATTTTATTTACGAATGGTATCACCCCATTTGAAAGGCTTCTGAGACAAATTAAGATGACTTCACATTTTGCATTCTGATCTTTTGAAGAATTGTGTTGGTGACCTTTTTTTATACTCATTACAGCATTTAGAAATCCCTCTGGGTTCGGTGTTTGTCAGAGTCATATCGGAGGACTATTTATTTAACCAAACAAAAATCCCAATTAATATGGAACAGTGATTATAGATACAAATAAATCGAGTATCTGATGGCAGCATTCCGACAGAAACCAAGCAGTTTGTCTTTTAGTCAGAATATCAATTTTCATTGGTTTTAACTCTCTTGCAAATTTGCATCTTTCCACTTACGCAGGCACGGATCGAACTTTGTCAGGCGCTGCATTAATAAACATCCCAGAATAGGAGCGCTGCTCAAGGCTTGAGTGGGGAAATTAATCCATGTTTTTATTCCAGTTTTAGATTATGGATGCCTTAAAAAACTTAAGTGAGTTAATTGCAATTCATATGTCTTGATTCAGTTCTGGAGGCTCTGTTTTTTTGTGCGGAAAAACATCGATTTAGCATTTAGCATGATGGTGACTTTGCACCCCAGCTTTAATTTAAGAGGTTTGACAATAAAATGGTGCTTACCCTTTTGCAATTCTAGTTAGCTGTTATTTGAGTGAACCTTCATTTCAAATCCATTGTGGTGGTCGACGATGAGGGCAAATTCATAAAAATAAAAACAGTCGCCATTTAAATACCTGCCGACCGAGCTGTATGTTGTTTGTCGGAGCAGTGTGTGTTATTCACAGTTTTTGTACACCAACCCTTATTGCGTAGTTTATTAGCCACTTGGAGTTAGATGAAGCTAATTATGTATTGGTTCTCTCTTCAATTGGCAGGTCAATCCCAAAAGACCCTTTGCAGTGTGCATTTGCGTCCGTGTGCGGGCTTGTGTGCATGCGTGTGTGTGTGTGTGTGTGTGTGCTCAAGAGTGTGCATTTGCGTCCGTGTGCGGGCTTGTATGCGTGTGTGTGTGTGTGTGTGTGTGTGTGTGTGTGTGTGTGTGTGTGTGTGTGTGCGCGCGCGTGTGCACATGTGCGGCAGTAAGATGGCAGCGGGCAGCCGCAGTGAAATCGTTCTTGTGATTCCTCTGTCTTCGGCTGTCTTATTTTAGACCCCAAAATGTTTCCACTAGGCCTGCACCCTGACTCTTTCTTTGTGTGTTTTACTTGTAGACTTCATTTGTTAAAGACTTATTGAAGACATGTTTATAAGGATAGGTGTTCTGTATAGCAAACATGTATATGGATGTCATTGTTACACTCTTGTGGACAATATTGTCTGGAAAGACTCCGAGTGCACACAATTGTAGTTACAGCCAGCAGAGGATGCTGAAGAACCAATATGAGTATCTAACTCACCATGGAGTTAAAAAAAAATGTCCCGTTTTAAATTTTAAACCAGTTAACGCAGCCAAGACTCTTGGGACTTGGTGACGACCTGCCCAGGCGCACTCGCCTCCCTACTAAAGTCTGCTGGTTTCGACTCCAGTGCACCCGTGACCCTAATGAGGAAAGCTCTATCAAAAGTGGATGGATGGATGGATTGATAAAAACTGCCTATAAAATACAAATAAATGCAAAGTTCAATTTTAAGAAGCGTGGGAGTGAGTAAATGAGAACATTTTTAGCGTTTTTTTTTTCTGCGTGCCCTATTTGAATGTATCGTTATCTCCCAGTTCAATTCTTATTTTATATTCAGAAGTAACGCTCCCTCACTCTATCAGTCCAATGAGGTTATGCTCATTTTGTCAATGTTCTATTTCTTATTTCTTATTGTTGCTATGCAGGCAACTGCTTTATATTATCTGGAAATTGCTTTATGATTTGGGGCATTGATTCCATCTGCGCCCGTGGAATCGAAGGATTGGCTAGTTTACAAATCCACGCGTCTTTAAAGTGAACTCGACAATTGTAATCGTTCAACTCGTTTAAATGGAAGGTAGAAACTCTTTCATATTTGTACTTTGACAGAAAAAATGTGCCCTCATAGTCATGGCTCAGGTGAAGTGAAAAGGAGGGTTTTAGTGTTCCCAATCGTTTCTATGACATAACAGACTTGATATTTGTATGTTCTTAATTCCTGCAGTGGCTCCGTTCCCTCCGTCTCCAGAGGTGGTCGTAAGAGTACGGATGCGTTACTGTGAAAGTAGGGCTCCTGTGGACGGAGTGTGATCTCAGCTTGCACGCTTGCCTGTTGTGCGTCTCATGTTGTCACAGTGACCTCTACTGCTTGCTCGGTCACCCAGCCGGCAGTGGCTCATGTGGTTCAGCACATCACATGCTAAAGCCATGTGTCATCTTCCCCCACAGCCCTCCACACGGTCAAGCAAATAAAACTTGAATTTATTTCTAGGTGTGTTTGATTTAAATGTATCATGTAAAACAAGTGTATACTTTTTCATTAATGCGGGTACAAAAGTCCTGCTGAATATAGCGGAGTAAGCTACGGTACTGCTTGCAAAAGGTTAGCCTAAGATATCATATGTTTTAGTTTTGTCATTTATCGAAGCGAAACCTCAAATTATATACAATATCAATGAGCAACCACCAGTTCACGTCACCCATGTGGTCTTAGCTTTGGAATCCCAATGACTTGTCTCTTTTCTAGAGCTGGCTTCTTCATGAAAGTGGTAGTCTGCCCGTTTAAAATGCTCGCACTATTTGACTGTAGCCTCACTTCACTACTCCCGCCTCCCCTCGAGTGTCTGACCAAAGCCACGCCCGTTGATTATGTGCACTCAAAACGAGCCAATGTTAGCTGTGGCTGCTACGTGGGTTGTGTGAACTAAATGGAAAGGGTTTGAAGATTTCTTTTTTTGGGTGTGAAGTGTGTACCGTATGCAGAATCATTGAAAACTAAACAAAGAGGTGATACTTAATTTTGTGTTGTTTTCTGAATCGTCTCAGCTTCCTGTGGCCCCTCCACCTAAGGAAGGCAGCTTCTTTGTTCACCCTCGTCTTATCTCTGTCTCTGTACAATTTCTTCTCTTTAACTTTTGTTGCGAACCAGAGGTGGGTAATCCGCAGTAGTTTCAGCAAAGCTCCCGTAGCCCACGGAAACAAGTCAGCGCGAGGCTTCGTAGTGTGGCCACAAGTGCATGGCAAACACCTCGTTGGTCACACCTCTTGTCTCTTATTGGTTGTAATTCTTTGTGCATAGCGGTCTCTTAAAAAAATGTACTAGAGGTACAGAATTGGTCCATAGGGGGCTGTTTTTTTGGGGGGGAGAATATGCACACACCAGACAAGAAGACTGGAGCTGAGATTCAAATCTCTAACTTCAGAACTGTGAGGCAGAATAGTGACATCTTCACCACTGTGCAACTTATCAGAAATAATACCTGTTCATTCCAATGGAAAACCCTCAGTTGAGATTCAAATCAGGCCAACCCTAGTAGAAAACTGCAATTTGTGAGTACTTTGGGACTATTTAGTAAGATTAAAAAAAAGTAGCATAACAAAGAATATTACTCTGCTGAGAGAGGAGCATAACTTTAAAAAAAAAAATAACTGGCCTGTGTCGTTTTTGGAGCATATTGCCGAGTCAAAGAACCTTCTTTTGGAGTTACATCATCACAGCAATCATGTGCCACTTTACTTTCATATCGTACGCCATAAGTCTCTCTTTGTTAGAGCCTCCACTAAATACTAAATGAATGTTTAGTCGGCCATCAGCGTGTTCCTCTTGAGGCATGCATGTGAGGCGAGAAGGATTCACAGAATTTTATCAGAGTCTCTGCTTTTCCCTCCGAGCAACCGGTCAATGTGCCTGGATGTAAATGATGTGTGGCTTTGACCCGTGACCTAGCAAGTGTGACACACACACACACACACACACACACACACACACACACACACACGCACACACACACACACACACACACAACGCATTCACGCACACACTCGCCCACACAGACCTCTCATCCGTTCCTTGGATATCTTTTTTCCTGAGGGACTGTTGGTTCAAGAGGGCTGAGGTGTTGATTACTGCAGTGCTCCCAAGTCAAGCATGTGTGTGTGTGTGTGTGTGTGTGTGTGTGTGTGTGTGTGTGTGTGTGTGTGTGTGTGTGTGCGTGTGTGCGTGTGTGAGAGCGCGACAGAGAAAGAGTGGCCTCCTTCCGTCTCCTCTTTTAGTCCACTTTTCTCACACACCGAAAAAGTTACAGTTATAAAGCTAGCTAGGCTACTTTCAGCTACATCCTAAACTTCAGCTTTGCTGGTGCTATTTCTTCTCTCCAGGCAAGGTTTTTGTGTTTTTGGTCATGACACCCACTTTAATATGGTTGTAAAAAAGGCATCACCAGCAGTTAGATGTGGTATCTGTGTGCACAGTATCTGCATGCAAATATATCAGTATCTGATATCACACACTGATGTGTGTATCAGTATTGGTGCAACATTTGTGTTTACTCGATGAAGTTGTCCTTGTGTGTATTTTTGCACTCTACATTATGTCCGTGTTGAGGATTATTAAATTACATGGATTCATAATTCTGTCCAGGGAACAAAAACAACAACAAAAGTGTTGTGCTAACTAAAACCTAAAAATATGAAAACAAAATATATTTCCCAGACTGTCACTTAAGAATTTGGTGTCATTTGATTGTGAAAACATGCAATATTTTGATCACGTGATGTGCTAACAGCCGTTTTTGCTTCCTTTCAGCAACAACGCCAGCTGGACCTGTTAACCATCACCAATTGTGGTAAGTCATTGGCTCTTTTCCGCAATTGACTGAATTAGAACCACATTGAGATGGTGCAGTTGGTACCTTGGCATCGACACTGATCGATTTCCTTTTTGTAAGATGAACCTGTACATTTGGATGAAACCTCTGTCACGGTGCACATCATGTTAGTCTATTTGGTGGTAACACATTGCACAGCCCCCTCATTTGTCCAGTTGTGAGAGAGGCATCGATGTGGCGAATGGACAGAAGTTTGCAAACTCAGAGGGGAACCAGATGGGAAAGGCAAAGGGAGATAGAATGACCCATATGTCCAAAGTACCTGTGAGATCTAATGAGCTTTGTTTAGAATTACGCAGAAGTGAGACTCTTGCAGCGCAGGTTAATTTTCAGAGGTTTACGTTGCAGCTGTTCTTACAGACGGCAGCAATACCGACGCTGGCTGGTCTTCACAGCTTGACAGAGAGGCAGTCGCAGTGAGGGAAGAGGTGGGAAGGAATGCGAGAGCGTGAGGAAGACTTAAAAGTACTGCAACACCTTCTGCGGCTAAGTGACAAGTTAAAAAAAGACATACTACATGTGTGGAATTTCACCCCCCCCCCCACCATTTGAGTTGTCAGTTGGTGTCTTAACACGAAAACTACAAGGCAAATTTATGGATGACTTTGCGGTGGGGTGAAAGAAAAAAATATCAGATTCAAATCTGTTGAACAAAGGTGCAAAACTGCTGAATTTAAATGTCTGGGTTCGGGCTCTCTTGAAGTTCTTCCTCTCTCAGCAAGATTATGCAGAACTAAGTTAGAGGCTGATGGTAAAAGCTCCAGTCATTCGAAGTATGACTTCCTCAAGTTAGAATCACCTGTAGGAACGCTTCTCTCTGCATCGTGTGCTTTCTGCAATGTGAAGCGGGCCAGAATCATCACTTAAGAGCGGCACATTAGACGACATTCCTCCGCTTAATAGCATTTGCCTATTGGAGGACAAACACAAATGAATAATGATAGATTTTTGTTTACCCTGCAAAACAGATAAACAACCAAATCAAGTCAGATCTGACCTCTAATACAGAATTTGCTTACTTGCCTGGCATTGATAGCCGAGCTTTTTCTTATCTTCTTGTTAATCGATTGCCAACTGCAGATTAGAATTGAGTGAAGAACTATAGTTACCAATGCAGTCCCGTTGCCTGATCAGAAGACTGAAAGCAGCCACACGCGTATTCAAACAAAAAGTAACAATGAAGCTCTCACCACTTGAGCGTCAACTGCTTACCCTCTTTCTCGACCACATTTCGTAAATTTTCAGGGTAATGTAACTTTGATATATATATATATATTTTTTTTTTAAGCAAGCCTTACTTTTAATTCACAAGCGATCGCGATCCAACCATCCGTCCAAACCTTCATTTCCTGAAATGCTTGTGCTCATTGTGGTCGTGCGTGAGCTGGAGCCAATCCCAACCGGCAATGCAAGATCCACCTCGCGCTAGCATTAGCCAGCCAATCGCGTGGACAAGTGCTCTCATTGTAGCATATTTGTGTCGCCCCGTCACACTTTGTCTTTCCTCATTTACCCACCGTCAGCCCACTCTGTCTCATCTTCATACTGTAGCATCGACAGCAGGAGGAGTCACTGTGGGCTAACAAACTTTATTACCCCAGTGGCTAACATGTTTTCAGCCATTGTGTTCATTTGACTAGCCAGTAAACAGTCTCACACCTAATTGACTGGATCAAAACACGCAGGCTTTGTGAACGTAGCATGTGAAGCTGTAACTGCTACACACCATATCTATACCATCTCCCTCCTCAGTGATATTTCCCACACTCATACGGGCACCACCCACACAGAGACCCACTCCAACCTCTCTCGACCCTCCTTAATTGGACACTTGAGCGGCACGCGGCTGCATCTGGCTTCTGTTGAACACAGCCTGACATTTCAGACTGCTGACCTTTCCAGCCCCGCCACGACTAAATAATGATTAGTCCCGGCAATGCTTTTCACCACAGCAACGGCAACACAAATTAACTGCCGCCGCGCGCGTGCACACACACATGCACACAGAGGCGCACAACAAAAACACCTGAACGCTTTGTCTTCTCACAGTGAGAAAATGGGGTGCGGACATTGATTTGAGAGGCCATTGTCATTCTTTTGGCCCATCGATTAGATTGTCCTTTTCCATACGTGCATTCGGCGCACAATAATGTGTTGTTGTAAATCAACTCGGCTCGCCGCTCTTTAGTTTCTCCTTTCGCCTTTTATGCGCTCTCAGCATTACGGTGGGGGTGAAAAAAAAAGGGCAAATATATTCATGAAAGCCGGGCAAGTTTGAGAGGACATTGGCACATGAATTCAGTGTGTGTGCATCCAATGCAATGACAGGCATTTGCTAAATGTTTGGGCTTCTTCATTTTGCTGTCAGAGCAGAGCAGGAATAGAAGAGGAGAAGCAATTAGTAGTGCAGCAATAGGGAAATTCAGTTCAATAAAGTGCACTGTAGCAACACACAAGATGAAGAAAATCCATCCATCCACCCATTTTCCAATCCGCTTGATCCTCACAAGGGTTGCGGGGGGAGCCGATCCCAGCCGTCTTCGGGTAGTAGGCGGAGGACACCCTGAACCGGTTGCCAGCCAATCACAGGGCATACAGAGACGAACAACCATCCGCGCTCACACTCACACCTAGGGACAATTTTGAGTGTTCCATTAACCTGCCATGCATGTTTTTGGAATGTGGGAGGAAACCGGAGTACCCGGAGAAAACCCACGCAGGCCCCAGGAGAACATGCAAACTCCACACAAAGGCCGGAGCCGGGATTGAACTCACAACCTCTGTATTGTGAGGTCGAAGCGCTAACCACTCGACCATTGGGCCACCATGAAGAATATTAAACAAATATTAAAAATATAGATATTTGCAGACAGAAGCATTGTATGTGGAAAGTGTCATGAATAATAAACAATATACTGTACAATATATGCAGATGTGAATGGCAAACATTATAAATAAATTGATACCATATAAACAGAAGAGAATGTGAATGGAAGTAAGCACTGTATGTACAAAAAAAATGCATAATGAATAGTCTGTGCATAAGCAGTTGGCGATGAAATAAACAAAACAATGACTTTATGAGCAAAGACTATGTGAACAGAATACCACACTAAAGTATGTATACTACAATGACGTGAAAAATATCTCCCTCTTCTGTTTTTGCAGTTTCCCGTTTTTGCAGTTTCCCTATTTTAATGTTTAAGGTCATCAAACAGATATAAATATCAGAAAAATATAACCCAAATAAACATAAGACGCAATTTTTAAAAGGTGATTGTATTAATTAAGGCCCAGTGTGGAAAGAGTATCTTCCTGCATTTTTTCTGGTAAAGAGCAGAAATCCTGGTTGAATCAATCAGAGCAAGTTGTCCAGGGCCTGAGAGAACAAAGCAGCCCCAGACCATCACACTACCACCATCATGTTTGAATGTTAATTGATATTCATTTTTTGAAATGCTGCGTTACCTTGATGACCGGTGTAACGAGACACACACATTACAAAAAGTTTAACTTTCAGCTTATCAGTCCACATTTTTTTTCTTTCCAAAAGTAAAATGAGTCGCTATATTGTTTTTGGTGGGCTGTTCATGGTTTTCACTTTGGAACTCCTGGGCATGTCATTTTTGCCAGTTTTTGTCTTTTAGTTGCATTATAAACACTGACCATAACTGAGGCAAAGGAGGCCAGCAGTTCTTTAAAAGTTGCCCTGGGTTCTTTGTGGATGAGTCGTCACTGTGCTCTTGTGGTAATTTCTGTAGGTTGGCCACTCATGGGAAGGTTCACGGCTGTTTCATGTTTTTTTCCATTTGCCGATAATGGCTATCATCATGGTTCACTGGAGTCCTAAAGCTTTAGAAATGGGTTTCCAGACTGATAGATGTCAATTATCTTATTTCTCATCTGTTCTTGAATTTCCTTGGACTGTGGCAGCTTTTTGAGGTCTTTTGGCTGTCTGTCAAACAAGTTCTATTTTAGTGATTCCTGAATTGAACAGCTCTGGAAGTAATCAGGCTTGGGTTTTGTTCATGAAAATTAACTGAGCTTTTCAAAAAAAATAAAATAAAAATCTAATAGGCCACACTTAATTCATGATTTAACAAGGGGGGCAATTCATTTTTCACACGGGTCCAGGCTGCCTAAAATAGTATTTCTTCCTTAATAAATAAAATCAGCATTAAAAATGCATGTTATGTTTAAATGGCGTATCTTTTGTCTTATATCTACATTTGTGGTGCAACAATACTATATGCTGTGTACAGTACATGCAACTATCAGCCTGAGAGTACAACTGTACATGAATAAGTAATATCTTAACGATTGTGTACAGGCTATTGAAAGCAACATTAGTTTAAACGTTGTTCATTACAGCTCCCCTTTCTGCAGTTATCTTTTTGTTCATCTCTTTGTTTCTTCCGGCAAACACACGGTACATTATTACACTGAGGTCACATTAGTATCCAGCCGGCTGCCGATATTCAACGGCAGCACGAATGAGACTCGTACAGTTCAACTGTACGGACCTCACTTGTACCACACAGTCAGAAACACAATCATTTTAGTCATATTGTTCCCATGGAAACAGCATTCAGTGACAAATTGTAATTTCAAAGTGGGTCACAACAGCTGACAACGGAGGTACGGTGTTCACGAGATGCGACAAAACAAGTTGCTCATGCTGCACAACTCACACGCAATTTCGACTCAGGAGGGACTGTGTCATGTGTGCGTGATGATGGTGGACCCCAAAAAAGCAGGGAGGCAGGAGAACCAGGGAGTACTGAAAAAAATGTGTTGACAAAAAACACTTGCGGGGATACATCGAAAAAAACTCAATCCAAAAACACAAACAAAGTCTTGACAAACCCCAATAAACCAAAGTAACAAATAAACAAAAATCCATTACAGTGAAAATAACAACGCGACAGCAACAACGATCCGACAAAGACTGACAGAAA